ACTACATCCTACAACTTTCCAAATTAGAACAGGGTATATCCACGTCATTGTTGTTTCGCCTAAAGCACTTTCACACTCTGTATCCCCGTTTTTCTCGGCTTCTTTCCTGTTTATAAGTGAAGTGCAGTTGCATTGCAATACAGCTCCCGCTGATCCTTCTACAGCCTCTCTCCCATTCGCGCCTCCAATCCCCTTCCATGCAACTTCTGTGACTGATGCTGTGTGATTTTGTGTTCCTCTTCTTCTTCTTCTTTTTTTTTTGCCAGCTTGCCACGCGCTTGACTTGATGCTAACAATAGCACTCCCGGATGCTGCAACGGGGCAGGCAGTGACAGGCTCGTTGCCTCCTGCCAGCTGAATGGCTGACTGTATGGCTGCCTATATCCTGGCTGTTTGGTTGTTCTGCCCGGCAAATGCATACACACACATACACACATACATATACACACACAGATGCACACAGATTGACAGTCTTTTAATTAAGAAGCCGTCAAAGATGGCGTCGACATGCTCCACGCCAGCGCAGCGCCGAACCAAGTGCAAGTGCGGCCATGTCACTGGCAATTATGCAGCAAGAAGCAAGAGGCATCAGAAGGGAGGGGTAGGGGGGGGAATGTGTGGGATGGGAGAGGGTGTTGCATACAAAAGCCAACGTCAACGGCAACGCAATTCAATTTGCGTTTATTCACAAATTAATTGAATTTTTGGTTTTTATTGTGCGGCAAGCAAATGTTGCAGCGTGCAACATAAAGAATCCGGGCAGAGTATTTCAGTGCCGTGTCCATTTGCAGTTGCAGATGTTGCACCTGTGCAATCTGTGCAGCAAGTTGTGGCAGCAATGCTGCAACTAATTAACCGCAAACTGTGACTGTTTGTCGTCAATTATGCCGACACCAGAAACTCATCAGCTGTCGTCAGGACAGGACAGGACAGGACACAGCCGGATGCGTCAGATGCGGATGTGCTAGCAGATGCTGTCAGCAGTCGCCCAAGCAGATGCAAACGCGCTCCATTTGCCTGGTTTTTTACAAGTTTTTTGGGTTTTCTGCTTTTCTGGTCTTGCAATTTCCGTGTACTCCAATGGAATGCACACGCACACTCAGACATTTCCATGTCGACACGACTGTGGCATGTGAACAGGTAAAAGTTCACAGTCGTATGCATATTTTTACTTTCGATCAGTTGCCAAGGAGAACTGAGCTGGAAATTTCAGCACTTAAATTGATATGTTTACTTGAATGCAGGAAATGAGGCAAATGGAAAGGCAGCTGGGCTTAAATTGACAGCCATCAGTGGACTCAAATGCAATGAATATACATCCCACACGAGCTGGCAATTGGAGTGAGTTTTAAAGCAAATAAATAATGAGATATCTATTACGAATAACAGACTTCGATTTGTTAAACGATTATGTTATTAATACTCTTATTACTAACTGGGATATTATAAATATAATTATAGAATATTAATAGAATACCAACATTTTAAGAGCTCAAAAAATTCTTTGATCAATACTAAGATTGCAAGGAGGTTTATGATTTCACAAATATATGTACAGTGAAAACTCTCATAGGTGGACTGCGACCGTTGAGGCCAAAAAGAGTCTCCGCCTAATAAAGGAATAATGTGTGTGGCCTGATTCATAATAGTTTGATAGAAAAGGGTGTCCGCCTAATTGGCGTATCCCTTTTCTTATTATATTTATTTATTATATATATATTTTTGTTGGCATCCTTTGACGTATTTCTTAAGCTAACAGTTTGAAGGTGCTTTTAGTTATCAAAAGAATAAACATGGAAAAAAGGCTATCTTTAGCAATGCGAAGTTGTAACGTACTTTTAAGCATAGAAGAATGTCCGTTAGAAGAGTTTTCACTGTAGCTTGCACAGTATTTTTATTTATCAAAATTGTTTGCAAGGAAGAAATATTCTCTTTGGCAAATTTGTAAGCATTAGACATAATATTGTCCGTTACGAGAGTTTTCACTGTACAAGCTTTTTGAAATAAAATTAATTAATTAATAATTAATTTGATGTACTTCTAATAATAAGAGTTTGAATACACTTTAAAGCATAATAGCATAAAAATGCCCGTTAGGAAAGTTTTCACTGTACAAGCGTTGAAAAATCAAATTATAAAAAAAAACAATTTATTTATATTTTTAAGCATCCTTTGACGTATTTATAATGCTAAAAGTTGAAAAAGGCTTTCAAAAATCAAAAGTATAAACAAGAAAGAAGAAATTTTCAGCAAGTCGAAGCTCTTATACACTTTAAAACATTTGGCTTAGAAATGCCTTTAGGAATACCTTTTTAAGCTGAACCTCGTACCAGCTAAGTTTGGCCAAGTTATATTGAAAAACAGAAAAGTTTGCCATTCAAAAACTTATTCATGGAACTAAAGGATTTAAATGGAACTCTATATGATATAAAATGTAATATATCTAATTGGAATATACACATATTTTCTCTATTTAGTTACCTCTTCGACTATTTTTACATTTATTACACATTTCCAGCACTACTAATTGGAATTCCAGATTTTCCGCACTACTTTTTACCTGGACCTTTGCTTAGGCGCATAAAAGATTACCTTGGGCTTTTATGAAAATGAATATAATCATTTTAGCATAATTTTTCGTGTGGTTTGTTGTGAGACGCAGCGTTTAGCAAAAGTTTTTGCCATTTCGGCACACACACACGCGCACACGGGGCGTATGCGTAACTTGAAAAGTTCGTATATATGCGCCATAAAGTACACTAGAATAAATGTCAGAAGCACTCATTTTCGAACAGTGTACGCTGCTGCCGCTTGGCCTGTGATGTTCAAGTTGAGGAGGCACCTTGACAATTTGTGTCCTTAGCGTGTTTAACTTGCTGCTGCTGCAAAAGTTTGTTTGGCCCCGGAAAGTAAAGGCGAAGAAATAATATAACTGTCCAAAAATTACACAAAAAGCACTTGTTTAAGCACAAGCAAAGTTTGCTCAAGGGCGCTGAAGAGCGGGGCAACGAGAAGGGGTAAGGGCAGGTTACAGTAGGCTACAAATTCTCATTGCATGTCAATTAAGGCAACAAGCAGGCAAAATCTAAGCAATTCAAGAGACACTTGCAGATACGAGCATATCATTTAGATACTTTTACAATTTTAAAGTGCAGTCGTTTGAGAGAACGCCTCAAGGTGTGACTTATGCTAAATGTTCTAGACACAAACGAACAGTTAGCCGCACATACTATGCACTATGGGCAAAATTAAAGCTTATAATAGAGCTTAAAATAATCACATTGTGCATTAACATAAGCCAAATAACCTTAACTGCAGTGTTGGGTAAGACTAAAATGTTAACTCTATATGTTAAGATAACAGCTGTTAAAATGAGCTCACATAGATAACATAATTTCACATTTTTGGTAGTTTGCAAATGCTTTAAGCAATAAACAGAATGATTTAGGTTTAAATGACTAATATGCATGACTTAAATAATAAATTTGCACACCTTGCTTCAAAAAATAAGCGTTTCTTTTTTAAATATATTGTCAAGTATAAAATGTTGTCTTGTAAAATGCTATGAAATAAATAATCTTTGTATTACAAATAATCACATAAAGAGGCGAAAACATGTTGCTTTTCTTTGCCACAAATGTAGTTTAAGACAAGTTCTGTAAATAAGCAGAGCCCGGTAGAGAATAATCATATATTTGAAATGTTTAAATGTTAACTGTATATGTTAAGATAACAGCTGTTAGGCTGAGCGCACAGATAAAATAGCTCACGTTTATGGTGAAATGCATTGCATAAAAGAATGCGTTTGATTGCCTCAAATATAGTATACGACAAGTTACGTAAATAGAGTCTCAAATATAATATAATTTATTTGAGCCAGTTACTTATGCCATAGAAAATCTGCATATGCGCCACAGTGCTATGGACAGACAAAGTACACTTCCTATACCAGGTAAATGTGTATATGTTGCCATCTTACTTAGAGCAGCTTAAGACACACACAACGCACACACACACACACACACAACACAGACAAATTTTTAGGAGTTGTAAAACATTTTGCATGCATTTCCTTGGCAGTTGCACACTGCAAGTTGGCCCAGTAAATGGCCAATAGTACTTAGTTGCCACATTTTCGTTTTTTTTTTGGGGGGGCAGCTTGATTACTTATGCCACAGCCAGTGGCACAGTCAGGACCACAGCCAGTGCGGCCATATGTTACGCAACAATGTGCATAAATTTCAAACATGCCACATGCAATATTACTTATAGAATGCGACTAGAAATATATGTGCATATATATGGTGTATATAGAAATTCTCGCTGCACACATTGTGGCAGCAAAAGTTGCATGGCGCAGCGGAAAGTTCAGCTTTTACACTGAACAGCATACCATGCCTGATAATTGATGTTTACTTTTGCACTTTAATTGGTTATTAACAGCAATAACTTTTAATGGCTTCGACAGCGCCTCCAAAGGCCATTTCCACATTTGTGCTATAGTCATAAACTGTGTACATTAGTTAAGTAACTCGAAATGCTAGAAAAAGCTGCTTTTCAAATTACAAAATAATGTGCAAGGGAATTATGTTTATTACCATGGCAACCCAAGCTTAGAATTTCTAATTGAATAATTGATATTGTGTGTGCCACATGAGGCGAGTGCCGGCTGTTGTTTCGTTTGATTTGTCCAACAGATGCCTCATGTGGCAGCTAATTAGCTCGATTAAACAATGCCTGAAATTTGTCGAGCGACAAGAAATGAGCATTCAGCATGCAGCGCAACTTGTTGTAATCCAATCTGACAAATTTGTGTCAAATGTCTGAAAGAACATTCGATTGGAGGCAGCAATTTGTAATACCAATTAGTACAAATAAAAACCAAATTACAGACCCAAGAATTTCAACATAAATTGAAAAGATTGCTGAGCTTTGTTTCTTGGTTGTCAAATTATGTTTGTTAAATTTGACAGGGACTTCGGCACAAATACTGGCAAATATTTTCAAGTGTTTGCAGAGTGTTTAATCAATTATTTGGCAATAGACAGAAATGAAAAGATGCTGGTATCGCCGTTTTAACTTCCTTGACGATACGCACGCCAAGCACTCAACAACATAATCTTGAAACACAGAAATGTTTATGCATTAATTATTAAAATATATATATATATATATCTTCGACAGGCCTTTCCATGTCCCAGGCAAATGTGCTCCTATGTCCCAGATGCCGCGCATTTTCTATCTCCCCGAGCGAACACAAATTTCAGCCACATTCTGTTCGTCGGAAGATATGAAAGCGATAACAAAGCGATATTGGGCAAACGCACACTGAAAAGCAACGCCGAAAAGAATGGGAGAATTAATCGATATATGTGGAACTTGCGGCATTATCCTTGAGGATAATTTGTAAGCTCTTCTGTACTTACATGATATCGACCTTGACATATGAAACCCCCCGAAATTTGATTACTTTATATACTGTCCAATAATTTTTTCTTTTTTTTATAACTGCCTTCAATTCAAGCCTAAATTCAAGTGTTCCTGTTATTAGCATATATGCGTCTGGATCTTGAATAAAACTCACTCTCCATGCTAGACAAGCACACGGGTAAGTTAACTAGCTGAGTTAGACTATATTATATTCAATTTGTATCAGATGCACTTACTCCCTCTCAACATCTATTGTTATCAAGTCCGCATTCCGTCTGTATATAACGCCTGGACGCTGGCCCGGCTGCGCCGGCACCGAGCGTCGTGTGCGCAGAGCTCGTGCTATTGAGAATATAATGCGATTCAGGGCGTGTCTATTCGGCTGTGGCTCATACATGGGCTGGTATATCCAGATGCGACACTGATTGCCAATAGGTGGCGCCACCACTCGCTGACGTAACCTACGCCCATGCCCGTGCCCATTGGAGCCCCTCTGATGGGAGGATCGCGACGATGCTCTCTGCAATTCAGTTTCAGGATCTTGTGCTATATGCGATACACGAGTGGGCGACTCCAGAACATCGACATTGGGCTCGTTGAATTCGCTGGGATCAATATTGGATGAGCCAGAGGACATGTTGAACGCCGTGCTTGAATACTGCTTGCGGAGGGCATATGGTTATAGCTTTGGAGTTGCGCCTTTGACTGGGGCTTGTCCTTTGGTATAACTTACAAGTTGCTTTTATAGTTGTGTTGGTTCATTGAATATATTGTGATTTTTATGTTTTGACTGTTTTGACAGTTCCAAAACATTCCAAGTTCCTACGTTACATGGAGAAATATTCTAATAATTAGGGATATTTCGAATTTATGCTTTAGGGAATATAGACAATGCAAATTAGACATATATTCCATGCGAATCGACAGGAAATAAAGGCAATAGAAGAACTTCTCTTTTCACACTCTCTCTCTCTCTTTCTCAATCTCTCTTCATCTACGTCTATCTTTATCTATATGTCTTACACCCTTTCTCTTCTTCTCCCTCCCTCACTCTCTCTCTCTTTCTCCCACCATCTCCCTTTCTCCCACCATCTCCCTTTCTCTTTCTTTCACTCTTTTGCTCTCTTTTTCTCTCTCAATCTTTTTCTAAATTCTAAATATATGTTTTAAATATTTGCGTTTCCTCGTATTCACATAATACACATACATATTCGTAATACACATTAATCTAAACATAGGTCAAAATTTCCCACCCCATAACTTTGTCAAATCTCATCAGATTTCCACAAGCTTTGGCTCTTTGTTCATAATTTGGCCTCTAGATCACTTTGGCATCTAAATCTGACAACATTATTCTTGGTCAAAATTCATTTGAAAATAGTACCCGCTAGTAAGATATAAATACTTTTTAATGCACATTGTTTTTGGTACAACAATCAGCCTGAAGTGTTGGCTCATCCTATGGGATGGGGGGCTCTTAGCTCAAGTGATATTTGTGCAAACTACGTTAATGAATTGCTGCAATTGCATGCAACTAAGGCAAATAAACTGTTTAGTAGTAGCTTGCAGCACTACGCAATTAGAAGCATATTAATTAAATTAAGTGCACTTCCGCTATCGTTAACACACACACACACACACACTTATCCGCACGCACACACCTGCACAGAGGGAAAGGACTAAGCCCTGCACAGGTGCAATGACAATGGGCAACGCTTTAACTAAAGCTCAACCCGGCAACATTTGACAGTTGGCACAAACAACAGGGAACAATCAGCAGTCGGCAGGCAGCAGCTTGCAGTCAGCTCGAACAGTTGTTGCACCAACCGTTGGCTGATTGTGGCTCTACAAAGCTAGTTTATGGTCAAATGAGTGTAGCTGACGGTCAGACAGCGAGGCTCGTGCCCCCGCAGCCCTGACATAGACACATCATCAAGTGCAACATGCGACACCAGAGGCATTTGTCTGCGACACAAAAGCAGCGCAGCGAAAAACGTTGCCGAAGCCCAGTTGCAAAAAGAAAGGTAGTGAAAAATACACTTACTTTTTCACTACATGAGCACAGTTAAAAAAAAAGTAATAAACAACTTTTGCAACTGGAACGAGAAAACATGAAAATAGAAGAGAGCTTTAAAGTGACTTCTCAGCCATGCCCCGCAGAATTTCTATGTTAGAATTAAAATGCAAACAATTATCGCAGCGGGCACTGATTTTTCGCCTTACCATTCACCGAAAACTCACATGTCTCTTATTTCAGCAACTTTAGTAAATTTGCCAGCTGCAAGCCAAATTGTTGTACTACATTGTGCAACAGGGGCGTCATGCTGCGTTTATGTTTGCCACACACACACACACGCACACACACACACACACACACACACATACTGCTGCAGACAATGCACTTGAGTTGTCTGTCGTTGAGTGTATTTGCGCTTTGTTTCTAGTGTCGCTTTGTGTGCGCGACGACATTTGATGAACTCATCATTTGAACTTTGACATCATGTTGCAGTTGCAATGTTGCAACATTGCAGCGAATGTAGAGAAGTGCATGCATATTGCATTCGATGCGTTGTTTACTTAATTGAAAAATCTGCTTTGATAAATAAAACTGGCTGCCACTCAAAACAAATGCAATTCTATTTATACTGAATATCCACTGAAAAGCCAGCTAAATTTAAACAAAAATAAATACATTTTTGTGGCAAGTTTATTTAACGTATATTACTTGTATAAAAACTACAACAAAACGAGTACAATTTGTAATCAGGCCACAAATGCTGCATAATTACAATTGTACAAATCGAATTATTATTATTTTTTTATTCGGCAAATAAATGGCCACGTTAATGCCAACTAATTGTGTTTATTATGTGCACTCAGGCGTCGGGCATGTGATAACAATTTACAGGAGTTTGCCGATTGATGGATATGTTTTGGCAATACATAAATTACATCGGCTGCCGGCATACAATTTACATGGCGAGCATAATATGACAGCCGAGGCGAAGACAACAACAGCCATCGCTCACTTACGAGTGCACGGTTCAAGGCACAAGAGCGGGTGGGGGGAGGAGCTGAGTGAGGAGGACGGATGCAGGAGCCAGGATGCAGAGCGACTGGCGGGTCGCAGGTGCCGCCTTCTGCCAGCTGCCTGCTGCCTGTTTTGCCAGCCGCATAATTTGCGTCAAGACCCAAGAGGAAATGTCGCCGCGCAAAGTTGTGGCTTCAAAGTTTTTCCAGCCCCAAAGCATAATGTACACAGACTCTCACGCACACACACACACACACATACAAGCACACTCACTTATCTAGCTGGCTTGCTTAGTTGTTGAGCACAAGAATTTATCATGCTCCACATCCGCAGCTTTGGCATGCGAATCGAAAATGCACAAAATGAACTTTAAGTTATTTAAAGCACTCTCCCCTCCACCCTCTGACCACCTTTCCGCTCGCCCATGGCTTCTAATTTCATCAAGCTCTAAGTTGATTTAAGTGCCAGTTGATGAAATTACGCATACGCCGCGTTCGCCAGCGCTGGGCCTGACAGCTTATCTCAGCTGCTTTGTAGTTGGCCATCAGCAGCAACAACAACATCAACAAGAACAAAAACAACACGAACAACAACTATGACAAGCAACAGGCTAACCACATCAATGACAATGGCCAACAGAATTCTCTCGGCTCTCAGCTGAACAATTTAAGTAAATTTATCATCCATTTTGGCATTAAAATAAACTGCTTGCTAAATGCTTGCTGCCATCCATATTTAGCTCAGGTGTATGCATAATTTAATAATTTAATACTGCCCCGCCCTCATTTATTCATATCGGCTTTTGCATTTGACATGCGAGCAACTGCATATCAGAACTAAACGAATATAGCCCTGGGGCATATTAGTGGGAGTCAACAAATTTTGCTAAAATTTGTGCTATTTAACTACTGAAATTGGAACGAAATGAAAGCCTAATATAACAGATTTTAACTATATGGAAATTACATTAAATAACCCAAGTTAATATCTGTTATTTGAGCTCGACCTAATCACACTTTGGCATAAATCATTTTCTGGCTAGCAATATATAATTTCCGTCAGATTTTGAAGAGATGTCTATAATCTCTTCTGAAAGAAATTTTTAAAATAAAATATTCTTAGTATTAAAGAAATGAATTCAATATCCTATTTTGGTTTAACGAGGATCCGAGTTCGAATGCCAGGCTAGTATATTGTATGGATATAGATATCCTATACTCATAATAAGATGACAATATTGAAATAAATTAATATTAGAATTGGCCTAAAGTTAAGCTTTTTTTTATTGCCAAATGCATCGAAAAGTAAGAGACAGAGTAGAGCAACATTTTATTGTCAAATTAAATACGATAATTAACAAATAATTCCTCAAGGAAACTGCAGAGCAGAGAATTTTATAAATTTCAAATATGCCACTTGCTGTGTATCAAAGAAAGCATTTTATGAAATTTTCTCAGTATTTGAACTTCCGCTCAAGCTTGGCTTTTCACAAGTGCTTGAACACAAAACAAATTCCCTTAGCAATTTAAAAAAGAATTTATAAAAATATATATATATTTATATGAATATTAAAGCGCAGCAGATGTCAGCTTGACATGGAAATGCATTTACAAATAATAAAAAAAAAAAGAGCCAAACGGAAAATGGAAAATGAAAATGCAGAAACGAATATGCAACCAATAAGGGAAATTGTAAATGTTGAAAAATGCTTCGGGCCAACGTGATGGCCATCGTAAAAATCAGCAGCTCGAAAACCGGCTGACCACTGAGGTTGATATCATCAACATGACTACCACGCCCCCCACCCCCCCCCCCGTTGCACTCCTGCCTCTCCAGATGATGATGTTGTTAATGATAATGATGTTGATGTTGACAATGCGCGATTTACGCCGTTTGCATTTGCGGTCTCTTTTTTTTTTCGTTCAACATTTGCATTTACGCTTGCAATCAGACTATAATGAAAAAAATACTATACAAATAAACAAACACAGAGTGAAGCATTTTGTGCTTAAAACAATCAAATCGCGTGCACGCACACAACAACAACAACAACAATAACAGCAACAACAACAACGAGAACAACATTGGCAATGACAACTGCATTTAATGGGAATATTTACAATGCAATTGTTAAGCTCAACGGCGGCACTTTAAAATGTGCTGCTTCAAAAATCAATAAATTGAAAAACATAATTGTTTTTATTGTTAAGTGACAATGACATTCATCGTTAACGAGTTTTGAACGCGTTTGATGGCAATTCAATTAGCTGCGCTTGTGCTTTAAACACAACTAAAAGCTTTTATTGATTTAATTCAATTTAAGGCAATTGATTAGAAAAAGCAACTAAAAACTAGATGAGGTGCATTCTTTGCACCTAACTTTAAACTAACTTTATCCCAAACCTGATATCAGCTAAATATGTTATTTAAGTTGTATTTTACAGCTCAGAACTTATAGCTAGTGTCATTAAATGATGCTTAAGCCCTTAAAAGCCCCTGAAAGCTTAAAGAATACTCGTTGAGTATTCTAAGGAAAAGCTTTCAAAAGCTTTAAAAGCTAAAACATCAGCTAGTGTCATTAAATTAAGATTAATTTCCTAAAAGCGACTGAAAGCTTTAAAAAAGATGCTTGAGTCTACTAATTGTATTCTGTTTTAATTAAATTAATTTAAAATTAAAAGCTTTAAGCTTGCACTTAAATAAAGCATTATACAAATATTTAAGATCTTTTTAAGGCCAAAAAGAAAGCAGAGAATTAAACCTAACGACAGCTCGAAGCGGGCCTCACATGCAATTTATCACCAATATTACTTTATAGCTTTTAAAGCCACACTATTTGTCCCCTTTCAACTAGTGTC